TCTGTTTCTCAAGAACAGGTTCTGAAATCCCTGATGGGTTCCTGATAGGCTAATTCAACATTGTTAGTTAGATTAGTTTGTAGGCTGGTTATAAGTATTTATAATTCTGTTATATAAAGGTTGCTTGTTCTTTGGTGTTTTGAAATTTGACTGGGAATGGAAGATGCATGACCCTTCAAGAGCCTCGTGTGATGTAACGCAGAGGCTTGTTGAGTAACTCGAAGGCATTTGGAGCTGAGACATTGAAGGAAGCAGACCTCTGTTGAGCATCTTCTCTCGTACCAATTACAGATCACCATCGTGGCCCATCCCAGCTGCTTCAGAGGAGTGTTCAAGGAAACCTGCCAACGGAAAATTAAGGTTTTTTTTTTATTAAGTTATTAAAAAACCCGTACCCATAAGGAAATTGCTACCTAGCCTCCCCAGCTGAAAACAAGATTCCACCTCCTTCACATGAAGGGCTACGCCAGTCTGAGAGGACTCCCTTTGACTTTGGTAGGGATTATATTCAGAATTGAGGATTCTTCAGAGTAGAAACGCCAGATTCTTGTCCTTAGCAGCTCCTGACACATATGTGCTTTCTAGCCTTTCTTTTTTTTAAAACAATGTCTATGGAATACAATTGTGGATGTTTCCAACATACCTGATCCTTTATGAGTTCTATTTTCTTTTCTAAGTGCCTTGGAAGGTTTTGTCATGGACTCACTGATTGCCATCTAGATGTTTACGCAAGGGAACACCATTTACTTCCCCTTTTCCATTCATTATTTTGCACATTGTTGTCCTGACATTGAGATCAGGTTTGGCCCTGATGGCTGTAGTACTTTATTCAGTGTCTTGCTGCATGGAGTATTAGCCCTTGCCCTTTGGCACTCACTCGGTTAAGATCCTATGATTCATGTCACAAAGTCACTTAAAAGCTTTCAAGAGAGCAAGGCTGAGTTGTCCCAGTGCCATCTGTAGGGGCTGCCCTGTAGCATTCTGGAAATGGAAGTCATGAGTCTGGTGCCCCAGAATGACATCGTAAGTGCATTTGCAGGTGTTGGAGCTTGTGGGGGGTAATGGGTACTTCAGATATTTCTGCACAACTCTGTATTATGCCATGATGACATACCACTAGTGTTCTCTCTTCTCCATTTCCCTGATTATCTTAGCCCTCCTCTGCACCTTGAATGACTCTGAATTCAGCTTTCCTTTAACATGGGTGACAGGATTGGATGTAGTTTTATGGGAGTGAAAAGACCTGGCTCTCTCATACAAAGAACCCTATGCATTATCTCCTCTCTGTAGAGGCTTAGAAAATACATCAAAGTCCTGAGGCTTCTCTGCAACAAGATGACTAAGACTATTCTTTGTAGTGGATTGGAGCCAGATCCATTTCTCATCCAACCTAGGGTCAAGTCAGGATATATCATCCCCCCAAATTCTGTTTTCCATTTTTTTTGATTGTCACCCTCATTCTTGTAAGGACCACCCCTATTCTGGAATCAGCACTGACTACTGAACAGATGGAGGGCTTTTTGGCCTGGGATGTTTAAACTCGAAGACCAAAGTATTCAAATCAAACAACCTTGACCTTCAGTACAATGACAAATGTGCCATCCTTGTACACATTGAGGAAAACCTCTTGGCGGTGCTGGATCTCCTCACAAAAGCCTACCAAACTTTGGGCCTCTCTCAACATCAAGAAGACTAAAGTTTTTTATCAGCCTGCTCAGGGCATGAATGTGACCAGCCCCCTCAACTTCCCATTGAGGAAAGACTGTGGAGGTAGATGAACACCTCCCTTACCTCTGTAGCTACCTCTCTCAGAGGTGATCCACTACAGGATTAATGAGGAGATCCATTTCAGGATCTGGGATTTTCTTCAGATGTATTTTCATTGATTGTGATCCCTGGAAAGACACCAAGATCCAGGTTTACAACACAGTCATCATCCTCATTCTCCTCTACTGATGTGAAACATGGGAGACCTACCATTTGTCATCTCAAGAGCTTGGAGAGGTATCACCAATGATACCTCTGGAAAGTCCTCTGCATTAAATGGGAAGATTGTTGTACAAATGCCAGTATTATTGCTGATACCAGACTACCAGCACTGAGTCAGTGATCCTCAAGCACACTGACCCAGACATTGTGCATAGATGCATACTGACTTTTAACACCCAAAACAAGTGCTCTATTCCAAGTTTGGTTGTAGCCTGAGATCTTGTGATGGCCAGAAGAAATACAGCAAGGACACACTGAAGGCATACCTTAAGAAAATGGATGCTGACATAAAGAGCTTGGAAGAGCTGGATACTAACCAACTGCAATAGCACCACAACCTCAACCAAGCAGCAGCCTGCTTCAAGGTAAAGCAACTTGCCCTCAAAGCAGAGAAGAGAGAGCAGAGGAAGAAGGAGAGACATCTCAGCCTACAGCCTGCTTTTCCCTGTGGAAAGACCTGCAACTTCTGTGGACAGATCTGTGGCTCAGGGACTGGGCATTTAAATCACCTCAAGACCCATCGATAAGCTATGGTACAGATCATCCTTGAATGGAGGGATTGCTGTTGCCAGTGGGAGACTTATTAAAGGAATGGAGAAAATTGTTGAGTAAGGAAAGGAAAGGAGCTTGTGAACTTGTATTAGCTTAGCTCTCAGGGACCTATGAAAAATTCAGTGCTAACTCTGTGCTTCCCCATGTTGTGCCCTCTCATGTTGCTGCAGCCTGAGTGTGCCATCCCTTTCTGATGTAAAAACTGCAGTGTGCAAGGGGATTAGGGTTTGCATGCAAGAAAAAAAGTTTGTGCTAATAATGATATGGCCCTTAAGTGGATCTGTGTGCAGACATACCTGAAGGCAAAATTGGGCCATCAGTGTATAGTGCATATGACATTTCTAAATGCAATACCCTAAACAGCATAGCTCCTCCATGCAGCAGCCTACCCCTCCCCTCCCTGGGATTACAAAACATCCCAATATTCTGATGTTCATGCAAAATGCTCCTACAGTTTTGAAGGTGGAGGAGGCTCAGGGATGAAATAAAGCCTTAGTCTTAAACTGCAAGAAATATCTGAGGAGGATTTTATAATGTTGTTTTATTATCTGAAAGTAATAACTGGGCAGGTATGGTTGTGTATGATTAACTGGTACTGAAAGTGCTCAGACTTACAGAACTTTAAAGGTTTGTGAAATGTAGAACCATAAAACTGTCACCTGTCCAGCCTTAGGTTTCACAGCATTAATCTCCAGGTTTCTCAGGTCCAGCAGACACAAGAGAGAAATGGGGGAGGGGGAACCCCTTTGTTTGGGAAACACAGATTAACAGAGAGCATGGGAACAATGCTTGACAGTTTGAATATTAGACCTGGAATGTAACTAGTGGCGTAGTTAGATACATAAAAAGAGAAGGTCAAATGAGAAAATGAATGCAACTTTTTTGGTGGCTTAGTTTGTAGATGCAGAAACAAACTTCATCATTATTCATACTTTGTATTAACAAGTATATAATTGCTTATATTTACAGACAAAAACTTCATTTAAGTGGAGTTAAACTGTAGCTAGTTATGAATAATTTAACCCAGAGATCTTTGAAGTATAGTTGCAGTACAGTTTATTTACAAAAAAAGATTAAATAAAAACATTGATGGGAATTCTTATTTCTGTAGACCTTTTCCAAAATTGCATATTGGTCAAGTCATTTAATGCAGGTATATGTTAACGTGTACATAGGTATCATAGTTAATTAAATTTGAACCTCCCTATTTCTTGGCTTTTAGACATTTCTTATGTTCTTTATAACATAGTGGATGAGATATAGGATTGGAAAATGCTAGGATTATAGTGCCCTAATTCTGGACTGATGTGGATTTTAAAAGCTGCAATGGTCTGTGGAAGAATTATTATACTTATGCAGAGATTTTTCCTAATTCTCCCCAAATATTTCCAATAATCTTTTCATTCTTTTCTTGAGAAAATTCCCCAGCAAACCAAACAAAAAGATTCTAACTTGCAGTTTATAAATCAAACATTTTTCTTATGTCAGTACAAAGAAAAATGAGGGAAAAACCCCTTAAAATCCCACTTTAAAGCAACACTAAGAAAACTGCCCTGCTTTTTAAGACCTTCATTTCTGATGAATGACTTGTCTAATGTCAATCTGTAATTAGGAGCTGTGCTCTGCCATAGCACTGTTGCAATCAGTGGTACATGAGTCATGGCAAATTTTGATAAAATCACAGATTTGTCACTCACTTGTGCATTTTTTTGCAAAATGATCTGTACTGCCTCCAGCCTTTAAGCTTCTTAATCATATAGTCTCCATAATAGTATCCCTGGAGGAAAAGAGACAGCTTTGCATTTTGTGCCAAGGTGCCAGGCAGCTGAAAGAGGAGTAAACAGTTATGGTGCCTCCTGCAGGAGGGCTTTGCAGTGAGTTGGAGTCCAACACAAGGTATTTACTGGAACTTGGGATGTCTGTGAACTAATAAAAAAAACAGATTTACCCATAATATGCCCAAAGTCTCATAAATACACCAATCTTTAACTGATTTACAATTGGATGTCAAAGGGAACTATGAATATGATTATTTGCTGTCCCTAGATATTTAGTGGCCTGTATGGTAGTTTCAGTTAACTATTTTTTTCTACGTATTCATACCAAAAAAAAAAAAGATCACAACTACTAGTAGCAGCGACTGAGATCTTTGCAAGTGGTCTCAACAAAGAAAGACAAGAACTACATGGAGTGTTTATAAGCTCTGTCTTTGTTCTTAGCAGGGCGTCTCCAGAAAGGGTAAAAGCAGAGAGGATTGGGAAGCTTGTATTTTTACACAACCTACCAAGCATTGCCAATCCTGATGTATGCATGCAACATCTGGACGGTGTACAAACGCCATGCTATGAAGCTGGGCCACTTTCACACGGGCTGTCTGAGGAAACTGATGAGGCTAAGATGGCAAGACAAGACACTGAGGTTCTTACTTGGGCAGGTGTTCCAAGCAGCCACGCTGTTGATAAAATCACAGTTGAGATGGGTAGGCTGTGTCAGCAGGATGTCAGATGAGCGACTGCAAGAGAAGATCCTTTATGGTAAGCAAAAGGAGGTCAGAAGAAACGCTTCAATGACCCCCTCAAGTCAGCCCTGAAACATTTCAACATTGACCTGAAGCCCTGAGATCTCGCTCATAATCATTCCACCGGACGAAGCCTCATCCCTACTGGAGCTACCGGCTACGAGCAGAGAATGACTGCTAAGGCAGAGCAGAAGCACAAACAGCAGCATGTCCGCTGTTGATCAAGCAACCCAAAGCAGCATGTCTTGCTCAGTGTGCCATAGAGTAACAGTTCAAAGCACAAATTGGCCTGATCAGCCACTTGTGTTCAAAACTGATGTCATGGTCATCTTCCAATTCAAAGGACAAACAACTTGGCTCAAGAAGACTTGCCTGAAATGGTGTCCGTGACCAGCATTGAATTAAGAATGCTAAGAAATTCCTATGGAAAGCTAAGACTTTGTAAATATTTTTGCTCCAACAACTTAATGGGTGACCAATGCTGTGATTGCAAGTTTAAGAGTTAATCATTCTGTACTATCTGCAATGCTGGTTTTAATCCAGTAATGCTTTCTGTTAGAACAAAAGTCTTTCTTGTGCTTAAGCAAAGTGAGTAACAAGTAAGGTAAAAGGTAGGAATAGCTTTGATGACTAAAATGACCTGTATCTTTTAAGATTACATTAACAAAGACGATATTTGGGAGGGGAAAAAAATCCTTCAGCTATGCAATGTGCTATGTTATCTAGGAGAAATTTGCTGTAGTCTTAATTAATTTGGTATTTGTTTTCAGGATAAGGAAGATGAAATAGATTAAAAGGAATCAGCTATCTTAGAAGGAGGTATAATGGATAGCTGAACCATTACTGCCTACAGTCTTATCAGTCAAGTTCATGGCCCTTTGCCATGGTCAAATACTCCAAAAAAATTATATAGAAAAAGAAATAATGCTGATATTGAAACTTTCCACTGCCAAATTACATATCCGTTATTGTTTATAGTCATGTGAGGTCAAGCCCGGTCACTAAAAACAAAGGATCTTTGTATATAACTTTACTCTCTCATCACAGGGCTTTTAGTTTCCAAACTTTTGTAACACTCCCTGGTTTGAAAGTTTCTTTTTCAGCAGGATACTGTGTGCTCTTTTATAAACATGTCTCCATTAGTAAAGGAGACATGACGGGAATCACTAAAAACTACTCAGGGGCACATAATAGGGATAGATTTTATTTTAAAAAACAGCGTTTCTCTCTCAAACAGACATACTGTCTTGCTTTATGTTGGACGTTTTCAGGATTAATTGAATCGTACTTATGTAGGGTGAAGGACTAATCGAGAATTTTAGAAATGATTACAAAATAAAATAGGCATTTTACCAGCTTTGTTTTCCTGAGAAAATCACGAAGCGTTTTGCAAAATTCTCACGCAAGGCAAGGAGAATGCCATTTTTGGAACAGATACAGCCCTGGAAGTCCTGCCGTTCACGGGGCACTCCAAAACTATTCCTATTTGCTCGATTCCATAGCAACAACACATAACTGACAGGGGTGGAATACTGAACTGAGGTTTTACTACTCAAACTGAGGATTTAGGCAAGTGTATCCTGTTCAAAGTACTTTATTTTCCAAAGAGCTTTATTTTCTAAAGTACTAGCTCCCTTTCAGAGGAGTGATGGAATTATCTTGGATTCCTTTTACAGTGAAACTATACTGCAGTACTGTTTCAAAACAAGGAGAAATCATTTAAAAACCACACCAGAAATTAACACAAAGGCTCTTTTTGGGATGATAGAATTACATAGAATAAACTACACTTGAACATTTTTTTTCCTTAGGATGTAAAGCAGATTCTATTTCTTCCTTTTTCAGATGGGGAGAGAGTAGAGTAACCATTTTCTGCCCAAAGATATATATTCACTAAATGTGGAGTACTCACTAAATGTAGCATAAAATAATAGTTAAGCCAGTAAGACTGTCATATCGTCTCCTATAACTTATATTAGTATACGTTTCAATTCTGTAATCAACAGAACATATAAAAATGTTCATGTAAAATCAGTAAAAAACATGTAAAATCAGGATTTTATCTGAGTTATCAAATCAGTATAAATAAGATAAAAATTTGCTCCTAAGGATTGGCAGTTCCTCCTAAATACAGGAATGAAATGGTATCCACCATTTCTATTATGTTCCATGGGTAAGATTATGATTTTTGTTACATCAGTGTCATTTGGGCATTTGGTAGGGTTTCTCTGTAGTCATACAAACAAAACCAAGAACACTAAGTGGTCTCATATATGACAGTAAATGCTGTTTGAAATGGGGGGGGGAATCAAAACTATAGGGGGGAAATAGGGAGGGAAATCAACATCTGTAGCTGGTGAGTCGGTTTATTTGATAATGTTGAGGGTAGCAGATAATTTATCCTACAAGACCATCTACTGGAAACTTCCATTATAAAAATTATATGCCATAAAATTTAGAAATGATTAGGTAATATGGATGAAGTTTTTAATTCTATTGCATTTCACACGTTATTAAATTGTAGATGTAAAAATTCACGACATTCAGAAATACTTTTACCTCTTCTTCATGTTAGTTTTCACATGATCCAGTTATAGAATCGTTTTTCACTCAGATATGACTTAGATGTGAAGTCGGACACCTTTATGGGCTCCTCAACTTGCACCGGTAAAGCTACTTGCTGCAGCAGTTGCTGTTCAACACGTGTAATAATGACACAATAGAGCCCTTATGTTGCACGCTTTTTGGGCAGGGACCTCTGTTGCTTGTGATATATTACATAATCCAGAGGTGCTGTGGAAATAACTGATACTATGTGGGATGTCAGTCTTACAAGTTTGCTTAAGTGTTTGTTCTGCCCTTAGATCCCACGAACAACAGTGACTTGCATCTTTATAACTGAATGCAGAATTTGGCCCAATACATTGACTTGTTGTAATTCAAGGTCATTTTGCTAGAAATCTCTGGTTTTTTGCTCTTGCAATCTTCGTATGCGTTGGTTCAGCCTTGATATGCTTTTGATTAATATAATGCCTCCTTTGAAGCTCCTGTGTTTTGATTCCTTTCTGGCAGCTGCAAATACTACTTAAATACAACTACTGCAATCTTAGATTTCCAGAATTAATAAAAAATGATGATTGATTTTTGCCATTGCTTTAAGACAGCTCAGTTCTGCTCTCTTGCATTTCTTCTGCAGAATCTTCCATTAGGAAAAGCAATCCTTTACATGTCTGTATCATTAAAATAAAGAGGACTTAGGTATGAACAATAGCTTATGTTAAGACATGCAGCTTGTGATAAAGAACCAGATTCTGAGAAATCAATGTTGGTGAAATGTGCCTGTTAAGGGGCTAAAAGAGAAGTGTGAGGCAGGAAAATGGTAAGGCTACATTAAATTTCTCTTCTCTTATTCTTTTTACATATGCTGCTTTTCCAGCTATACCCATGTCTTCTGGCCTTTTGACATGTACATTGCAGCTTAGATTCCTATGGAGTTAGTTAAACTCTTCAGTTAAATTCAGTGATGATGTGTAAGAAAGTACGAATTGCACATGGTAAGTGCATGACCATAGCTTAATCTAGAAGCCTACGCTAGCTGACTCTGAATCAGGAGAGAGGTGGCGAATTGAAGTTAGTGTAATTTACCTTGTAAATGATGAGGGAGAAAGCCTAAAAGACAACAGCCTAGAGACTACTTTAAATTCACTTAGATTCAACTCTGAATTTGGTTGACACTCAAAAGGGCAAATAATTCCCTTCCTTATTGTATGTCCTGCTCAGTTCCACTGAACTCAATGAGACTGGAGTGGCGTAAGTGGAAGTGAGATGAGAATGCGAGAAGTGTAATTGAGAGGGCACTACTGGCAAACAAGAGGTATCAGTGAAAGTCACACATTTTCACACATTTTCTCATAATGTAATTAAGCTGATAGTTAGATACCAATCACCGTTATATTAAGTGTAAATTCAAAGCAACTCTTCTGGCTTCAGTGGCTAAAAGAGAAAGAAGGGTCCCTTCTTGCTGAAATCCTTTAGTCTGTTCCCAGGAAATAATTGTTATAAAGCCAAGATCAGTAAACTGATGGGCCTACATTTTTTTAAATGACAAATGATTTTTGGGTACCCGATTTTTGAGGTGTCTTTCAGGGACCAGGATTTGAGGGAGCAGTTGGCAGCTTTTGACAATTAAGCTCTAATTCATTGTTAAAATTCACTACAGGAAACACAAATGTTCTAATTTGGGATAAAGAACTTTCTCTGTGAAGTATTATTTTGATCATCGGCTAACATGTGCCTTTCCTTTGCTGAAAATACCAATGCTTCACCAAATCACTCGCTCACATTCCATTTTTACAACCTAAAAAACAAATTGTCTTTCACAGCCTTTTGTGCAGTGCTAGAAACCTGCTTCCAAAAGCAGCATCTTTGTCAATGAGGTAAAGGAGACTTTCCACTAGGTATTGACAACACCACAGCATTATTCTGCAGGTTTCCAGCTGTGGGAGGGCAAAGCTATTCAGATATGCGGGGACTGGTATTATCTATGGACATTTTAGCTAGAGTGAATGTAGTTGAAATTTTGGGTTGTTTTTGGAAGCTATCACAAACAAGCTGATTCTTTTGTATCCTACGTAGAGTGAAAGCCGCTGTTGTTTTGATTTGGAAACACTCAGGACCCATTTTGCATAGATTTAAATGACAACACAGACAGAGGAAAACAGTGGAGTATCAGACTTTCAAACGAGTAAGGTAGAATCAATGCCCATGGATAATTAGCATAGACTAGAATATAGTCTAGGCCCTCTAAAGCCAGCACCGACTACAGGTATAAGATTTTTTTTTGTATCCAACAAGCTCTGTCAACATAAATTTACTGTATTTAGTAAACCTTAGTTCTTTCTCTTCTCTGTCACAAGGACAGAGACTTCGTCATATGTTTTGAAGTCTGTGTGATTGTTTCTTTTCTGATTTTCAGGTCTGTTAAATCACCATAAACAGGTGAAAACATCATATTGCAATATATCTTTCAAATAATTCAGCATTTCTGATTTGAAATCAAAACAGTGAGAACCTGTTTAGTGTTTCAGTAATATTTGCCCATGGTATTACCGATCTCATCAGTGCCTCAGGAAAGTGTGACTCAATTCACCCCTGTCCAGGTGATGTAGAATTTTTCTGAAATCTACAACTCCGTAACTTTATTAAAGATTATTACTATTATACTGTATGCAAGGCTATACAACAATGCATTTCTTTAAAACATTAACCACACTAAACTATTTTGCTGTGCTGTGTATTACAGTTGGGGTTGTCATTAATGGTCTGATTTTGAAAGAGGGCAAGAAAATCAGTGGAAGCTGTGAATGCTCAGCATTTCCAAAAGCTGGACAATGAGTTAACTCTTGCCATGCGTTTATGCAGAACCAAGCGCTGTGGGCCTCCAGTCTTCCTGAAGGTCTCAAAGCCCTATCGCAGAGCTGCTGCTAATAAGAATACACTTTCTTATTTATTACTTGGTTGCCATTACCATCCTATTACCTTTTGAAAACCATTCTATAATCAGATCCGATTATTGCTAAGGAAGGTGGAGATATAAAAACAATATGTAGAAACCGTACTGAAAATAATCATGCTGAAATGTGATAGCTTGCACTGTACTGCCCTGTCAATTATGGAGGATTAAGAGAATCATTTTGGACACATGGTAGAGTATGAAGAAATAGAGGAGCTTTGTGTAGCCATCAGTATTGCTATTGCTGTATTCACAGCATGGGCTGGAACGTGTACAGAACTGGGTGAGCTGAAAAAGGTAATTAGGTAATTCTCACCATGCAGGGGAGGGTGGCGTTGTGAACAAATATGATGGTTTTCTCCATTTTCTAGGATCTTAGAGTAGTTACGCTTGGCTTTAATATAATTCCTTTCCTAGGCAGCTATACTGGCAGCACACTCAACTTCTTGAAGCATCCAGTCACCTTTCGTTCGGTGGCTAGATCCAGGTACCTTCTTAGCTTTAATTGTGAGGGTGGGCTACAATTATTATTATACCTAACTTTATTATGTTAGGTGTCTATACAAACATGCAGTAAGGGACAGTGCAAACTAAGTCACAGAAAGGGTGGGGGAAGGGGAGTTTTGGTGCTAAGCAGGAGGCAGAGAGGTTAGTTTTGGGTGTTGGGATGATAGGATAGCAGGCTGACTCTGAAGGAGGAGGGGTGGTGGAGGTTGATGTGAATTGGAGGACGAAATGGGGTGTTTGGTGCAGGACTGCGGGGGAGATGGAGGGTTAGTGCCAGGCAGCCTGGGTGACTGGAAAGGAGGAGGCTGGATTCAGTCAAGACATTTTGGGGATGGGGGCTTATGTTGGAGGTGGTGCGCAGTGTATATGGGCTTTGAAGGTACCATTGAGGAGTTTGGACGTGCTGCGGTATGTGGATTAATGTTGGAATAGGAGGACAGAGGTGCTGTGTGATTGTGTGTCTGTTGGGGGCCCCTGAAAGTGATGTTACCGGGAAGGAGGTTGGAGAAACTACAGGGCGTGTGGCTGGAGGACCCGATATCGTGCGTGGCATGCTACTGCTCAAGTGGTGGGTTGTAAATTCAGGGTGTCCGTGTGTGTCTTGTTGGTTGTTTCAGACTACAGTGTTGCAGTATGTGTGTAGGGCGATGCATATTTTTGGGGAGCGTATATTATTTCAGCGGATCGGTGAGGTTTACAGGCTGTTTTGGGGTGCCTGTGGGGAAGCCCAGCGCCGTGTATGCGCAGGGACTGAGAGTTGTTTTGGGGTGTCTGTGTAAAAGCTGCAAGCTGTTTTAGGGTGTTTGTGGTGGTGCGATGCTGTGCGTACAGGTTGTTTCAGGAGGTACGTGCCTGGGAACCGTAAGTTGGGGGCTCTAGGTTGTTTTAGGGTTTGTGGGTGTGTGTGTAGTGTTGTACCTGGGAGAACACAGGTTGTTTCCGGGTGTTTATGTCTGTGGGTGGTCTGCAAGTTGTCGGGGGTGTGTGTGTAGTGATGTTCCATATATGTGGAAGATAACATGTTTTGGGACAGGTGCATGGGCCCTAAAGGTTATTCCACAGTGCCTGCGTGTGTTTGCACGTGTGTATGTGGGTGCTGTGCATGTGCAGGGACTGAAGGTTGTTTTTGGGTGTCTGTAGTGTGTTTTGGTGTGTGTATGGGCACGTAGGGGGAAGCTACTCACTGTTCTGGGGCGTTTGTGCGTGCATGGAGGGGGGTGCAGCGCTGTGGATGGGGAATGTACGTTGTTCCGGGATATTTGTGTCTGTGTGTGTATGTATGGGGGGGGGGGGCGGCGGCACTGAGGGCTGCTTTA